TGATAGAGATAGTCTCCTCTATAAGGTTTTGGCTTTATTATTGGTCCTGCGTGTAGGAAACGACCCAAACAGCAAGACGTTTGAAGTTGTTTGTATATTCAGAACAATTTTGAATATCTTCAAATGCGCCTCCTCCGCGTAATTGCATAGCTCCGATTGTTAATGATAAATTGCGATGACCTCGCACGACAAAAAACAAAACAAAAAAACAATGTAATTATCACTTGTAACTCATTAGGGAATAAAGTAGGCGCGTGCGGGTACAAAATAAGTGTAATCAAATCAAATATCGATTTGAATCAAGTAAATAAGCCGAATTTGGTGAATGCTAAATCTATTTTATTTGGTATAAAATGTTTGCTCATTCTCGTACGAAAAAAAAAAAAAGCAGTGACCACAGATCATACACAGAGTATGACCTGTGGTCAACGTCTCCTTCCATGCCGTAATGATGTCGCCGAACGTAAAGAACTGCCCTACAATCGTGCTTATACGGGGCGATCTTTTTTTTTAACCACTAGACATTTTTCTAAAAAAGACGTCAGAATTACGCGATTGCGCTTTGTGCGTTATCTGTAGTCATCAAAAACACCAAATCATTCATTTTCAAAGAGATGTAGCGGACGTGAAGTGGCTCACGGCGTCTTAAAAAGCCCAATTTGGACGCGAATCGTGTTACCGCAATCTTTTCGGCCAGCGCACTCCTCGCCCTTTCTACAGTGGCGTTGTCACAGCGATGCGCATGATTCGTCGCTTTGGCTTCATGGTGTTAGGCTGTGCCACGCGGAGATGGAGCCCACCTAAAATCAGAACTATATTTTTGCGTCCAAACTAGGAGGACGCCGTATAATAGTGTACGCGCGTTACATCTTTTTAAGAATGGACGGTTTGGTGGCTTGCGATTATGGCCAACAACTTTTTAATTACAAGATGCCGTTTTCTTTTCTAATTAAAAGATTAATTAGCGAATTTTATGCAATCGGTCGGTTTTAGTCGCGTTCGCTATTGAACCTAATCCTCGCCTGGCCGTATAGCTCACCTACACAAACCGCAATGGCGCTAATTTTCACTGGACAATTTGGTGGCTTTCGATTACGCCCAACAACTTTATAAATCAACCATCCCGTTTTCTTTTATAATCAGAAAGTTCATTAACAAATGTTAGGTAATCAGTCGGTTTTCGTTGCGTTCTTTCTTGAACCCAATATTCGCCTGGCCGTATAGCTCACATCCACAAAACGTTAATGTCCACGTTTTTTTTCTAATATCTAGTAAGTGAAAAAAAAAAAAAAAAACGTTGTATATAAAACAGAGGGCAGTTCTTTTCTGATATAAATAAAGCGTGCGGCACGAGTCTTGCATGCATCTCTTTTTTTTTTTTTTTCCGGCCTATGAAAACAAATCTCGGGACATTCGAAATTGAGTTCATGATGGGGCGGGCGCTTTATCATGGGGTATTTTGTCATGTTTCATAAGCTTTATTACTAGTCAGAAGGAAGCCACGCGAGCCGTATCACGTTGCAAACAGCTAATCGGGGTTTCTCAAGCAGCTCTAGACCTTTTCAATTGACATTTTGGTTCTTAATAAATTTAAAAAAGTTTGGTACTTAGTCCTAAACATTTAATTTATTAGGCATAATTAAAAATACTACAACTCTCGCAAGACGTCTGCCCAAAACATAAAGTTGGTTTCATTGGCGTGAAGTGGCTGCGTCTTTCATTTTTGTGCTTGGTCTTTAAAGATTTGTGAAAAACATTCGCGACCTTATCTGTCAAGCCGCGTACGCGGACAGCGCGGCCTCCTCGGCAAGTTGTTCCCTCATCGAAGACGACAATGAATAAAAAGTACGATCAAAATCTTAATGCCTGAAGAAAGCGCAAGTTTAAAATAATTCTAAGGGTGTCAGTTGATTTTATTTCTATCTATATTCAAATTTCAACACTCGTCGCGGGCAGCATGAAAGGAATCATTGCACTCTTGGCGAAAACCAGTGCCCAGTCAACGGTCGTACACTCAAACACGCATGACCACCCGACCTGTATGAAAAATAAACAATTTCCAGTACTTTGGGTAGAAAAGGCGAATTTTCTACTGAGCGTGATATTTTGTGGACCCAAAAGTCCTGTAGCCGAGATCGGTAGTTCATAGCTTCAGGAAGACTAAGAACGACGGATGCATTATTTCCCGCGGAAGTACTGTTTTGACTTTGGATTCCACATAAAATTGTATATGCACAAATTGTGGCGCAATACCGAACTTGCTTGATTACTTTTCTTTTAAAGACAACATAACCAGGCATAATCTACAGATATTGCAGAACTTATTTTAATTGGTTCACAGCGTGAAAGACAAGTATGGACATAAAGAACACAATAGAGCTCTGCATTTCTACTGCATTTCTTTCCGTACTTGTGGACAGTTAGTCCGCATGACTATATTCAAAAACTGCCAAATCGTTTAAGCCTACCACTTTTTATAGTTTTTTTCGTAGATGAATTGTGGCGAATCCCGGCTGGGTTCGGGTAAAGATCTCGCACGTGTTCAAGGACACATTTCGGCATGATTTCCCGCTTGGCGACGACGTATAGCCAGTATAGCTGACCGTGTTCCGCTTCTTTTCTAAGTGGGGAACGCCAGACGCCTAAATTAGCCAAGCAGCCCCAAAACTTGCGGTGGTACACCTTCCGAACTCTTGGGTTTTTTTGGAGATGGCCTTCGCCCACCCTGACAAAGCCCCAAACAATTATGTAAGGGCTGCAGAGCATTCCATTTCTTCCATGGAGCATTCCATTTCTTCATCAGCGAACAAATGCGAACAGAAGAGAATGAAAACTTCGTAATACCTGCTGTCTTTTAATAAATGGCATAATATGGCTACTATTGCTAGTTGCACTATTTTACGCGAAGAAAATTGTGATTTTGCGGTTCAATCTCCGTGTTTCCCGTTCTCTTTGCTGATACGCAAGATATTTGTCGGGTGTCAAGTTTTCAGTTACATTTGTTGACAGAAACTAAATGCACGTTTGGCCACGAAGAAATTTTTTTCAAAGGCTGTAGATAGATGAAATATACCATAAACCGTTTCAGTTTTTATGGAAGTTTGTTTTTACTCTTCTGAGTAGCTTCAGCGAGGCGGCCGTCACTCTAGAAGACACCTGTAGTACGAACCTATATATTATGCCCCAGAAATGGTCAGACTGTGTCCCTCTGACTGCAGTATCTTTGACTTGTAATTACTCATGATTATTAGTTTGTACAAAAAGCAAAACAAAAACACAATAGTGATACAATCACTCTTCAGTGTGCCGGTGTTAGAACGACAAATTTTCAACTCTCTGGGTAGAGCTCAAAGTTCGGATAAAAATACCCATCTTGTTTCCTTCTGCTGTGATGTTCAAGTTCCGTTCACTCGAGATAAATATGCGGTGTTGTAGCGTGTGTGGCCGCATGCGGAAGTATCTGAATGTGAAAGAACTTGTTGTTGGGCTAGCTGGTGTTGACTATCTGAGTGTGTTTTAAAACTGCAGAAAAAGAGGAAAAAAAAAAAAAAAAAAAAAAGAAGAAAAGCGAGCCAGCCCGAACCCTTCCGAGCTCATATCCTGCCTGCCTAACTAATCCCTGGTGTTTGGGATTGAAGCAGAGAACCTTGAAAGGTTACAGAGATTTTGTCGGGGGGCCGGTAAGCCCATTAGCACTCGTGCGAGAAGGCCGTAAAAAGCGAGGAGGAAAATGGAGGAGGAAAGGGGAGGAGGAAAAAAGAAAAGAGGGGGAATCTTCTGCCACGCTGAAGAAAATTTTGAGCGCCCGCCTTGTGCTGCCGAGATGTGAGAGCAAGGAGCTCGCGCGTGTAGCCTTTCCTACGGTACAACACAAGATGAAACAGAGTATACCATGGGTAAAAGGTGCACGTGCGATTGCGTGGAGTAAGGATTTTTTTTTTTTCCTTTGAGTAAAGAAGCTTTAGTTGCGAGCACGGTGGTTGCGAGTCAGGCCTCATTCGTGTCTGGTTTGTCTCTTCCTTTTTGTATCTTTGCGCTGTTTTATTCCATTATGTACAACGATTACAAACTAGCCCAGGTATCAACCTCATTTCACAGTGCGTCCAGGCTTTGTTGAAAATGTCAGCTTTCTAAATGCAGGCGCCCGATTTTCCAGTGCATTTCACATCGACACCGCAGATCGATGCCGCTACTACTATTGGATCAGATTGCGTCAATATCTCATTGCTTCGTAACAGGAAATTTGGATGAATGTATAGACACACGGTATAGATAGCCATAATAAACCTTCTATAAACAGTAAAATCTTGGAAATGAATTTTTTTTTTTTTTTTAATTTTAATGTGTTTCACTTTCTTCATGGGAGAACCCATGAAGATCGACGTAACACGGCTGATTAAAAAATAAAAGCAGAGTTCACACTTTTCGAAACTAGTCTGTCGTGAAGTTGGTAAAGCACTGAACACTTTATCGACGTTTCCGTACTATTGGATGCGTGTGAGAATTTTGAGAAGGCAATTTCCAAGGCAATGGCGTTTGAAGCAGACGACTTTCTAGATTGTGCTACTCTGCTCCGAAGTAGGGTGTCTCAGTGACCTTCTGTTTAGAGTGATGCCACCCTTTGTAGTACCCGATGCCGACAGCACGCGCTCACGGGGAAAATACAAAGAAATTGATGAAAACAAAATGTCGCCATAGCACAGTCAGCGCCACAGACGTGTGCAAGGGCACGCTTTTTCACGCGCTTCTGAACAAAAAATAAATGTAAAAGTGGGAACAAAATGGCCAGATGTCTCCACCCTAAGCAAAGCGCACATGAAGGCACCCTACTCTGAAGGAGCTATATAGTGCACTAGCTGCACCCAGCCAGCTCCGCTTGAGTCCATAGTTCTGCGCTTCAAAGAGGGAAACCTGGCCAAACCTGGGCCAGCCGGATAGACCTCAGGTCACTTCCACGAGGACCCTCAGCAACCTCAATTACCAACAGAGGAAACAGTCAAGCTTGAGAGTTTTATTTTCGCATCCAAAACAAGCTTATTTCGGACAGTCGAGTAAAAAATGTGCATTTATCCAGGTGCGAACGATGGGTGCCGAGGAAGGGGTAGGATTGCACCACGGCCATTATCCCAGACCGACAGGCAGGCATCTCCCATGCTAATGGGTCATATACTCTACCTTTGTACACCAAAGCTACGCAAAGCTCCCATTGCTATTACACTCTAGGGGCAAGTACAGTATACTCCCCGTAATTCAAAGTTGGTTCATATCAAGTGTGGGTGCACTCTCGGCAACCAATTCAAAGTTGGTTCATTTCAAGTGTGGGTGTAGTCCCGGCAAACACGAACAATGGCACGGAAAAAAAAACAAACAAATATTGCGCGTTAATTGTAAGGCTGTGCTAAAATCCTGATTAATTTTAAGGTTTTTTAGCTTATGGTGACTGACCCGAGGAGCAGGGTGTGCCAAAGTGTGGTACACCATTCTCTCGGTCCCTTTATGGAATGAAGAGACTGAGCAGTCAAGTGCGGCCACACCAACAAGCTGCGGTTTGGCCAATACTTCAAGCTCTAGTTTCGGATTCCCAAGGCTTCTTCAGCTTCGGGGATCCGAAGCCGTGTCCGTTATATTGTGCCGTCGTTTCACAGTTTTACGTGTGCCAGTGCTGGCACAAATCGAGTCCTGCCTTGTGTAGATGCCAATGCCCGAGTACGAGAAGTGTAGAGTCCTGACCTCATAAAAAGTGGAATGGACGTGCATGTATCTCCTTTGGTAACGAAAATGCTTGGGCGCAGAGCATTGTCTCATCGCATCCGAGACAACAAAAATCCCTTTCCCTTCCTAGGCAAGTACACTAATGAATAGTTTGGTTGAAGCATTTTTTTTCTTTCAAGAGTATACGTATTTGGCGATATGCACGAGTTTCAATCTACCAAGTCAAGTGCATGTCAATGGCTTCCCTATGCTGCAATTCTGTATGCATCCAGTCTAGGCAATGGCAAGAAGGCAAAAGCATTCTCTACCTAAAGCCAGGCCCAGCAAACTGGTGGGTGCAATTTGGGCTGCGCACACCCACGCGAGATCCCCAGCCCCCCTGTGCGTGCCAGCGAGGGGGCTCCCCCGGTCAGAAGGTGAGGCCCAGAAGATGCTGATGTGAGTGCTGGTGTCTATGCTGGTACGGCTGCTGGTATGTCTGCTGGTATGGCTGCTGGTATGTTTGCTGGTGTGTGTGCTGGTAAGTCTGCTGATGTGCTTGCCATGTCTGGTGGTGTGCTTTCTGGTATCCTTGCTGATCTGCCTGCTGGTATTTCTGCTGTAGTATATTCTGGTATTCTTGCCGATATTGCTGGTCATGTGCCCGCTGTTGTGCCCACTGGTACGGCTGCTGGTGTGCCTGCTGGAGTGGAGCGGCCCCGCATCCTGCCCAGCATGGCGGGGGGCACTCCACTGGTGCCACACTACTGTTGGTCTCAACGGCAACCGGTGGCTGACTGGCCAGCTTGTGCACCAGCGTCGCCGAACCAAACAGGGTCAGGGTTGCCGCCACGTAGGCAATGGCCGACACCACCATCACCTGAAAGAGATAAATGCCCCGTCTGCCTCATGCTTGTGCCAATGCAATGATGGCACACCCGTCTGTTCCGTGCCTGGCAGCACAGCGAGCCAAACTGGGGCAACATTCACCCAAAGGAAATGAAACTCAGAGAGGCAAGTTAGTCTTTCTTAGTGTAGCAACGAAGAAACCAATTTTGGTCCCCAGCAAAGAAATCCAATGCTTTGCAACAGAGGTCCTTGACATTCCAACTGGCAGACGCTCCAGTTACAGTGAAATATGATGCAGAACATTCAGCAGACTGCCAAAAAAATGCTGGATTTGAGAAAACAACTATTGAGAATACTTTCTTGTGGGGACGTCAAGAACACTAGAACACCTGGGCTCGGAAAAAAAAAGATGTTTCCTGGTGCATTTAGCATTTTGACAATATACTCAGGGTTCTAGGTTACCACATATAACTGAAGGAATCTGGAAAACACTCGACATTCGCCAGGAAAGTTTTAATCAATTCGGATTCGTGTGCTCCAATATGGGAGACGGCTGTGATATAGAAAGACTTATGGTCAGATTGGCAGTATAGCCCCATGTTTCAGTACAATAAACATCATCCAAATTGAGAACTAAATACATACTTTTCGTGCAAGACTCATCACAATTTTGGGCACCGGAGAAAATCAGCCATCTGCATTAGGTCCATACAAAAGCATGTCAAACGAGCAAAACTACACACCAGATCTCGCCACCCCGCCGTCTCCTTCTGCACGATCGAGCCTGTCTGCTATGGTCAGTGTTACCATGGCAACAGAATATCTTTTTATGGAGGAACGCACAAACACAGTGTCTGGAGCCAGCAACAGGAGGTACCAGTTTCCATATCTCGTCTAAACGTTAGAGCGCAGCACTAGCCAAGGTCGGACATGCTGCTATGGAGGTCGACGCTGAGAGGGGAAAGCAGGTGCCTAGCAAAATCCTTCCTATGCTTTGCACACATCCGGGCCTGAGATTATGTTAAAAGTTTGCCCAAGCAAAGCAAACCAAAGTGAGGGGTGACTGCACGCAGCGTGGTCTGTTTGGCAGCCTGGCTTGAAGCCCAAGCTAGCGTTGCCGCGTTGGTAGGGGACAGCATTCAGAAGGTAGCGTGGCTATAGCTGGCTTCAGAAGCTGAGTTTCCATCTATTGACCATCGGCAACCATAGTAGACGGACTTTATCGTGCGGAAGGAGGCGGTGGGGTAGTGAGATAACATGCATAGTTGAGCTCTTTCGCTGTGCTTTTCAGTGGGCAGAATGTGAACAAAAAGAGTTAAAAATAAGAGTTTAACGCAAGTGGTTCATTTTTCCCAGCGACAAATATCTTGATGAGCCTTACACAAAAAGCATATTGTTTTGGCCACCCCACAGCTGATCTTCTGGAACACGGGGCTAAAGTACCAAACTGTCGGCTTAGGGACACTTTACGTTACTCTCAGCCATCACATAGGACATACTCCTCAGGTGTGGGCAGTGTGCCCTTCAAAACTGTCAGGTAAAGTCCACTCGTCGCCTTGGTGTCGACCAGTGCCACGAAATGACGAATCAACCAGTGGCCAGTAGTGACCTGCTGCGGGTTTAGTCTCTTATGCATCTCTATGGGAGACATATTGCCTTTTAAAGTGATACTCCTTGTGTGCTGCATTATGTAAAACTTGGGACTTACAATATGCATGTCGCTTCAACATGTGTAGCACTTTCGTGCCTCAACATCAGCACAAACAGATGTATGAAGGCACTGGGAGAAACCTTGGTGTCTTATTTACAACAAAATACAGCTGCAAATTACTTTGCTCAATCAAAAGTGGCATTTTTCGTGCATAAATTTGGTAAACCTAGTTTTAAAGTAATGGCATCCAGAGAACTATCGTGATACTGCACTCCCCAAGTGCTCACATGCCGAAAATGTGATTTATGCATGCATGAATTTAGTATGTGAATTTAGTCGGCACCCGCACCGCTAGTGTGTGAACGAAACCTTCGAAATCTTAAGAAACAAATTGATGTTTTCTTTTCTGACACCACAATCCATGCCCATTTACCAGCAAACTGTGAGAGCCAGCTGGGGCTCTCATTGAAGTCCACATGCTCCATCAGATCCGAAAAGAGTGTCCCTTTTCGATTCAAGCACAAATGATTTCCGTGTTTTTTTTTTTTTTTTAGGGCGACTGCTTTTATTTTTTTGGGGGCTTCAGTTCACGAAGATGATGCAAAAGTGCCCGATGGGACAAGAGCATGGCGGCAGCCTCTCGTTTCGATGCCTAGTACCCAGCATGCACCCGTATTCCGTCATGCATTGGTTCGTGCGTGCATGTTGGAAGATCAGGAGACATGAAATTGTCAAGTGGAAAGCTTGCGCTGGAGGTGTGATGACAAAAAGACCTCTTAGCCATTCTCGGTTCTTGTCTCGGCGATGCCTTGTAGCTCATATCTGCCACGTGGTATCTGCCTAATGGGACAGTGAACCGCCACTGAACTACCAAACGTGATTGAACCGAAACCAGACATCCGGCAAACTCCATCAGTGCCATCTGTCGCATGCGACATGAATGAAACGCCATGAAATAGATAGCGCCATCTGGTATAATTGACTAAAAGCCCAGAGTGAGGAGTTTTGTTTTACCGTAAAAACGAAACTAGGGTTACACAATCTTGTTGTTGGCATGCCGGCTACAAACTTTGAGGCATTCTAAACAAAATAAATTATAAATTACTGCAAGCACCCCAAATCAAAGAAACTTCAGCGTACAGGACTAAAGCGAAAGATTGAGGCCGTTAAAGAAAGCATGTGAGGGCGTGCGGTATTCTTGTTGTGTACTCGTGAACAAAACCGAACGGTCGGACTGACGCGGTTGCCTGTGAGTAAAGATGCGTTTTGAATTTCTAGCCGTCAACACTTCGACGAAATTGGTTTCGACATTTATGGTGACAAAACCCGGGACCTTTAACAGTCCCCATGGCAAATGACTCGATGGCAAATGACTCATCGAGTCATTTGCCATGGGGACTGTTAAAAACAACATTTCTGCACCTTCATTATCATCGACAAAGACAGAGGTCGAATTCTTAACACCAGAGATGACTAGAATATTGACACCTCGTCGTGACGCTACAGCTTTTTAAACTTTTATATTTATAGTACAATTCCCTTTTTGGACTGCAAACAAGAATAATTCCGCATTATCACTGACAATGACCAAGGTTAATTCTAAGTAATCGAAAAATAACTAGATTACTGATGCGCTTTTTAAACTTTTCTTTTAGTGTATTCCCTTTCCTTTATAACTAGTATTTCCTTTCCCTCTTTGAGAACGTTGAGACCCTTGGGGGGCGGTTTTATCGTTGTGCCATTCTATGTTGTTGCTAAATGAAAGATGTCCTGTTCCCGTCCTCGTCCTCTCTGTTTTATACTTTCAAGTTTTGTATGTATGGAAGAATAGTATCCTTACAAATTTTCAGCACCCCCCCCCCCCCCCGCCTCCCCCCCCAAAACAGAGTTCTGGATCCCCCCCCAGGGTCGCTAAACTCGTCAACAAAAATATTCTTTGTGTTATGACATAGTGGGGGGAGGAGCCGAAAGATTGCCGCGAAGTTTTCTTTTCTCACAAACCCGCAGATCCGTCTGTCTTCATGACGTTTTTCATTCAGGGGACGAAAAATTCCTACGCCTCCCTAGGCACCGAACAAGAGCAGCACTAGAGAGTGCACGGAGACGATCGTGGCTCATACGTGCGACGTCACAACAAAGGTTATCAGCTGCGACCGTCATGTTTGATGGTCTCTAAAAAGCACGATGGATGCTTGGGAATTGCATTTTAAAATCAACACTGTCGAAGTTGATAGTCTGGTATCGTTCTTATTTCCGCCGATAAAGCGGAATTTACTAAAAAGCATCCCTGCTGTTCTTTTGATTCATCTCGGCCTTTCGAATCTGGCCAAAGTGTAGCCCGACGTGGCTAGGTCACAATCAGCCGACTACCGTTGTCCACTTTTGGGCGAATTTCGCTTCCGGGCACTTGTCCCTACATCGGCGGGATAAAATCATTTTATGGTAGATACTCGAAGATCAGTCAGTTGGGAATTAAGTATGTTTATCAACGGAAATAAGGAAATAAAAGCAATGTCAGGTTGTCAATATTGGCGGTGATGCTTCAAGAACGCAAGGACACTAAACTGGACATCGTCGATTTGAACACGCACCATCAAATTTGTCGTTCACAGCTGATAATCCTGACTCCATCGTCAAAGGTATCAACTATAAAATGAAGTCACTGAACGCGCCCGCACACTATATACGTGCCCTGGCACGAGTCTTTTGCTTGAAAGTCTGTCATGGCCACTCTTGAGTTCATGGAACACGAGCCATTTTAATTCCAGAATCTCTTGAACCGTTATTTTGAAAATTGCAGGCTGTGCTGTTCCTCGTCATTGCTCATTGGAACACCTCTAAGCAGGGTCGTCGAAACAGGAGGATGGGGAGGGGGGAGGATTTAGCCCCCCCTCCCCCAGTTGCGTCGAAAGAGGGGGCAAGGGGCACAAGGGTGGAAGGGGGGGGGGGGGGGGGGGTATCGCCCCAGCCCCGAACCACCATAGCATTTCAGAGAGTTATAATAAAGTATTAGGGGAACGGAATATCCCCCTTCTTCACCACCCATCACCTCCTCTCTCTCTCCCAAACAATTTCTACGGCCCTTCTTGAGACTCCTATTTGTATGTGCGTGCGTATGTGCCTGTGTGTGTGCGTGTGTGTGTGCATGCCTGTGTGTATGTGTGTGCCTGTGTGCGTGCCTGTGCCTCTGTGTGTGCGTGCCTGTGTGTGTGTGTGTGCGTGTTGGTCGTACATTAATTCTTTCTTTAGAGCGCAGCTCTTCGGCGCCTGATTCCGGGTTTCGCGGCGTCGGCGTCGCCTTCGGCGTAACCGGCCCGCTAAATTTAGCGCGAAATTGACGTCACATGACCTCAACACCAATTCGATTCTCAGCTAAGTGA